GTCTCTCTACTTCAACTTTCACTTTACATCTTCGTTGGTTCCTTCTTTGACGAGCTCCGTTTCTTGGTAGAGAAAATCCTACCACTTTGATTTCCCCCATTTTCAGTTATCTGATTTTGATTTTATCGTGTATTGTTTTTCCTTGTTCTGTATTTTATTGATTCGGTCTTGTTATACAAAACTAATCGATCTTTTGAATTGGGTTATTTGATCTGCTTATGTAGATTAGAATTTCACTTTTTTTGGTGTTGAATGTTGTTGAAAGCCATAGATCATGTTAATAATTAGAACATCTTGGAATAAAAGGGTAGGGATTATAAAGGTTTTATTAAAAATCTAAAGAATATTAAAGCATTTTAAGTTATGAAATTGGAATGTATTTTCTTATATTTGAAGAATTTGAATGGCTTTCTTTTATTTTGTTAAAAATATTGGTTCTTAGTAGCTTCATTTTTGCTCCTTCGTTTTCCTGTGCAGCAACGCAGACGCAGCGACTCGCTTTTTGACTCAGACGCAGCGACTCGCTTTCCGACGATATATCTACTTTAGCGGTTCAGCCTTCAGGTATGAGGTATTTGATATGGTTTTCCGTATCTCATCCTGTAATTAAACCTTCCTACATACTAGTGGGTTTGTTTGGGTACAATATTCCAACTTGGTTTTGATCTGATCTCATCCTGTAATTAAACCATTTGATATGGTTTGTCGTATCTAAGTGAAATGCATGCAGTAAGGTCTTCAAATTAAATATGTTTCTGTAACAACTGTCTTAAAAGTATATTAAAAGAGCACAAGTGAGGTCGGCTGTTGACAGTTACGTGTGTATCAATCTGTCTTAAATTACTCTATTGATATATATTTTAAAAGTATATTTTAATAATTAAAAAATATATATTTAAACATAAATATCATATTATTTATATATTAGTCTGTTCAATGTTTGAAGATAAAAAATTTACACTCGTAATATTGTTGGCAGTTCATACTTATGTTTATACTAACACTCATTTGCATCCAACTTTCTTTGATATTTGATCTGATTCTATATATTAACTATGTTCTGATGTTAGAACACGATGGAATTCTACCTTCTTGATGCTCCAAACATCTTTATCTTATAAGGATGTTTTTGCTCGTTGTGTGCAGTTACATCGTGACCCTTTGTACAAGTTCTTGCCAATAGATGATGATTGGGCTTTTGCATCGGTGATTTGTGATAAGCTGAAATTATTCTATGAGATCACCGACGGTTTTTCAGGTACAAAATTTACGTCATCAAACCTTTATTTTTCAAGTATTTGTAGGATTAGGGTGGCATTTAATGAGTGGATTACATAGTGATATCATTATTTCGATAATGACAAAGTGCATGTTGGAGAAATTTGAGAAATATTGGAACAATATGAATGGTATCATGGGTGTTGCCACAATTTTAAACCCAAGGTACAAAACAACATTGTTGGAGTATTACTTTGAAAATATTTATGGGGTTAATGTTGAACATGAAGTTGAAAGAATTGTGCAATTATGTCGGGATTTGGTCACAGAGTATGAAGAAAGAATAATGTCCTCAAATAATGAACCTCAACCCTTCAACAGTGCATCTTTGGATATTGTTCCAGTTGATTTGGGTAACCCAGGTGATTTTGATGCTTATGTTTCAAGGAAGAGACAAAAGAAAACGAAAGTCAGATATGAGTTAGACTGTTACTTAGAAGTGAATGTTATTTCTAGGACGTCAGACTTTGATATATTTACTTGGTGGAAGACAATTGGGCCACAATTTCCTATATTGCAAGCTATTGCAAGAGATATTTATGTCATTCCAGTTTCTACTATTGCTTCGGAGTCTACTTTTAGTATTGGAGGGAGATTGGTGAATGCACAACGTATAGACTTCATCCATCAACTGTGGAAGCTTTGGCATGTTGTCAAAATTGGTTATGTTCCGAAGAAGGTACAAATATAGTTATCGTGTAATTTTTATATTATTTTACTTATATGTTTTTTCATTATTTCTTATTAGATTTTATTTTCATTTACGATGTTTTAGAGTCAAACTCAAATGAAGGCAACTTTTATGAAGATGATGAAACCGAACAAGATGAGAGAACTGTAAGTAATAATTTCATATCTGTTACTTTACTCCTATTATAATCTTTTTTAAATATTAATTTATAATTTTATTTTATAGGATTTGACTATTTGAGTGGTTAGCTAAGATTGAAGAATGTGAACTTGTCCAGCCGATGATAATGGATCATTTTTTCCCTCGGACATCCGTATTTATGTCTCCTTTTATTATAATTATGTTTGAACTTTGAACTTATTTAACTATAGTATGGATTTACAATTTTAATTGTGAACATGTATTTTAATTATGGATTTATAAAATTGTTTTCCTGTTGAGTTGTTAGGTGTCTAAATCACCATAGGGTATTTGTTTTAGCTTAGCCAAATTATGTTCAGGTTTGTCGTGGTTTATCTGCTGTCTAGATAACGAGTGGAAGAACATGATCTGATAGTAAGGAAAATGCCATCCAGGATTGTTAAATTAAATGAATGCCTTTTGGTACTTTTTCTTTAATTTATGTAACTACATGGTTTGTTAAATATTTGTTGTTACGCATTATCATAGTTGAATTATGTTCTCAGAACTTCTGATTGTAAGTCATTTTTTATTTTAAATTGACTGCTTCAAGCTTCATTGACAATACCAGTAATAAATATACTGAAGGTAAACTGATTATGCTAGCCGGATTGGTTTTTTATTAAATAAAAAAAATCGGGTCAGGTTGGGTTGGGTCGGGTCATTTTTAATAAATAAAATTTTAAATCGGGTCAATTCAAGTTTTTAACCTGTTTATTAGGTTGGATCAAGTCGGGTGAAAACTCAAATTTCCTCGGGTCGAGTCACGGGTGGAGGTACCCTTCTTCTCGGGTTGACCCAAAACCCAACCCATGCACATCCAAGTGCATCAGTGCGAGTGGTTCGATTCCTCTTGTTTTTCGTGGCCACAATTTCTGTAAGTTTTCTGTGGGTGTTCTGTTTCGGATAAACTTGCCAAGAACATTACTCAATCTTTTTAGGTGTCATTTTCTTATGACTTAATATTAAAATAAGTGTTCAAACTATATAACTTTTCCTAAATAGGTGCCTAAACTATTTTTTGACCCATACAGGTGCCTAACGTTACAAAAGTTACCATTTTATGTGCCCAGGACGTCAACGACTTTAATTTCCCAATTAAGTGACATATTTACAATCTGGTGATTTTAAAATATATATTTTTTAAAAAAATACTAAAAATATTATGACATTTATAAAAAATACTAACTTTTCTTATATTATAAAACAATCTCAAAATCTCAAATCCTAACCTTAATCTACCGCCTCCGCCCTTTCCGACCACGACTACTTCCCCTGACGTAGTCCCTGCCATCCTTCTAGTCATAAGCCACTAGAGTTGACGTTGATTGGTCGTCGGAGTCGCATGGGATCGTGATTTTTATTCTAGGGCTCGTGGGGTATAAAACGTTGATTCATAGTCGATCGGTGACGATTTCATGGGGGTTTTGGTCGTTGCGTGCAGGTGAGGTAAGGTGGAGCTTCGCTAACGGCAAAGGGCTGCGACCAACGTCGATTTAGGGGCTGAAATGAAGGTTTTCAAAGGTTTGGGGTTATTTCAAAAATCTTTATATTTTTTTAAAATATTTAATTTTAATTTTAAATAAAATTTTTAAAATTACCGGGTTGTTACAATGGTCACTTTATGGGGAAATTAACGTCGTTGTCGGTCCGGACACCTAAAGTGATCACATTTATAACGTCATGCATCGGGATGAGTCAAAAAATAGTTTAGACACCTATTTGGGAAAAGAAGTATAGTTTGAGCACTTTTTTTGTATTAAACCTTTTCTTATTTGTCGTTTGAGGTCTCTTTAAATATGTTCTTGGTTCCCATGTTGTTGGGCCATGTTATCATGATCCTTTATCGCTCCAAGTGTGATATTAATTATCATAATTTTCTAAGTTTTAGTTATATGATTGACGGAAAAACGATTAAATAAAGAATTTAATTTAACACCAAAGTTTTATTTAAGTGGGTAGACAAACCATTGAATTTCTATCATCACATTACCTTCCTTTTTTTGTTTTAAAAAATAATATATTCTTCGTCTTTTTTAGATAACAAGGATAAATAAAAAAATATTACAAATGAATGAGAAAAAGGGCATGAAATTTAGAGTTGAGTTTGAAAATTTGATGAGTTATTTCAAGTTAAAATTTAATTAATATAATATACAAAATTTGAAAACTATTATTATTATTATATCTTACTTCTTTATCATATATTATAGAAAAAATGACTATTCAAAAAAGAAAAATAAAGAAAAAATGTGATATTGATGATTAAATTGATAGAAAAAATAGTTTGATAACTGAAATAGGAGAAAGATAATAATATGATGACCAATTAGTGTAGTTTAACCATTGTTGGGTAAAAGTATTACGATATGAAAACGTTGATGTTTGGAAGAAAATAGAATTTTGGCACTAGAACAGTGGTCGCGGCGGTAATATAAAGGGGGGATAGCCCTCTAAATACTAATTCCAGCAACGACGAAGCTAACGTGCGCCCCTCACTGCCCTCGACAAATTTCATTAACGTCACCGTTTTCACTGCTTTTTCGTCCCCTCAGGTGTGCTTTATTCCAAATCTCTCTTTATATCCCTTCTTCAGGCCTCATTAGTTATTTTTCAAAACCCTAGATTTTTTTCCTTTTTCGAAATCTTATTCCCTAATTGGATTCCGTGCAGTAGAGGGAGAGTAGGACCAAGGCATTGACGATACCTTGTCTAAAACACAATAATTGGGAGACACGCTTATCAATTTTATCTGTAAATAGAAAAGTTTTGGTGAATATTTAAGGATTTGATGAGGCTGGACTGGTTCGCATCAACCATCTGAGGATGCATGCCATGTGGCCAATGTTGATTCTCCCACATCAACACCTGATGAAAACGAAAGTTGCCATGAAGATGCAGTCTCTCTTCCTAGTTTTGATATCAAAGACAGTAAGTCACTGATCATCCAGCGAGGTGGGCGCAATATTAAAAAGCGTAGACATGGTGATATGGCTTATGAAGGGGATGCTGATTGGGAGAATTTGCTAAACGAGCAAGGTTTTTTTGCAAATCAACAGTTGGCAGACGGTGACCGTTCCTTCAGAGCGAGGGAGAAGTTTAATGAGGTAGCAGTATCATCTGGACTGAAAGCTCGTGCTGTGGGACCTGTTGAGAAGATCAAATTTAAGGAGGTCTTGAAGTGTAGAGGTGGGCTACAGGAATATTTGGAATGCAGGTTTGTGAATATGCATATATTTTGTTTACAATTTATGATTATTATGAATGCTTTCTAGTATGGCTTCCTTTTTGTGCTTCCATTCTGTTTTTGTTTTAAGCTTTAAACTACAGTTATTAATTTCCTTGGGACCATGGGTGCCAGCCTGCCAGTTAGCATCTTTTGTTGTAATTTTTATGATCTGGTTTGGCATTTCAACACAGAATTAGTCGTAAAATTTAAGGATTTGTATTTGGTTACTTTCTTTGATAGGAGTTGACAGGATTGGCAGTTTCCAATATACTGCCTTCAAAATTTTCTATTTCAAAAAGTTCTGTTCTTCTGAATGGAATTTTATCACTGGCTGTTGCAGGAATCATATCTTAGGTCTTTGGAGTAAAGATGTTAACCGCATTTTGCCTCTTGTTGACTGCGGTGTTAGTGACACTCCGTCAGAAGGTGAACCACCCCGAGCTTCCCTACTTAGGGAAATATATGCATTTCTTGACCAGGGTGTAAGTGTTTACTCTTGAATGAACGAAAAAATGTCAAATACGTTTATTGATGGATGGTTTTTTCCATGAATTTCTAGTACTTGGTATATTATGTTAGTCCTGAAAATTGGATAACCTCCTCTTTGCAGGGTTTCATAAACTTTGGGATTGCTTCAAAGAAAGAGAAGGCGGGACATGGTGTTAAGGCCAATTACAACTTTCTTGAGGAAAGAAAAGATGACGATAGTTCTTTGGCCTGTAATGCTGATTCAGAGGATGGTGTTGCCTTTATATTTGGTCGGGTCAAGAATTCTGAAGCTTCTATGGAGACAAATAGTGGTGTTATAGTTTATGATCAAAACCAGGCATCTGTAGCCATAATAACACCAGAATTACCTTATGTAAAAGAACAAGAGGAATGCCCAAGTGATAGTTCCCAGCAAAATGGCAGCATCCGTGCAAAACTAAACCCTGGATTGATTAGTTCAGAGGCTCCAAGTGATGCTCAATCTTGCGATGCAATTGACATGGGAATAGCCCCTATAGTAACTTCAGAAGAACGGAATGACTCACAATATGTTCAGCCTGCAACTTATGATAACCCCGATGGGAATCATCACCTGCAGGGTGATTCAAAGGCCAGAAAGAACATCATAGTTGTTGGAGCTGGTCCTGCTGGATTAACTGCTGCACGCCACTTGAAACGTCAGGGATTTTCTGTAGTTGTACTTGAGGCTAGGGATAGAATAGGAGGTCGCGTTTATACTGATCACTCCTCTCTTTCAGTTCCTGTGGATCTCGGGGCTAGCATTATTACTGGAGTTGAGGCTGATGTACCAACTAATAGAAGACCGGATCCCTCCTCATTGATTTGTGCACAGTTGGGGTTAGAGTTGACTGTGTTGAATAGTTCATGTCCTCTTTATGACATTGTGTCTGGTGAAAAGGTTCCTGCTGATCTGGATAAAGCTCTGGAAGCAGAATACAATAGTCTTCTTGACGACATGGTGTTTCTTGTTGGTAAAAAAGGTCAAAAAGCAATGACTATGTCTCTTGAGGATGGTTTAGAATATGCCCTAAAAAGACATCGAATGGAAGAAATAGGAGCAGAGACTGAAGAAAAAGAATCACATTCTTCAGTCGATGCTTTCTATGATTCCAAAGCAAGCAATGTCTCCGGAAATTTTTTTGAAAGAAAATGTTCTGAACAGGAGCTTTTGAGTCCCCTTGAGAGAAGGGTTATGAATTGGCACTATGCCCACTTGGAGTATGGCTGTGCTGCTTCGCTCAAGGAAGTGTCTCTTCCCAACTGGAATCAAGATGATGTTTATGGTGGATTTGGAGGAGCCCATTGTATGATTAAAGGGGGTTATAGTAAAGTGGTTGAGTCTCTTGGCGAAGGACTTCTAGTCCAATTGAACCATGTAGTCACAAATATTTCATACAGCCCAAAGGACCCTGGGCTGGATAATAGTCATAATAGGCAGGTCAAAGTTTCCACATCAAATGGCAGTGAGTTTTCAGGGAATGCTGTGCTCATCACTGTGCCACTTGGTTGCTTGAAAGCAGGGGCCATAAAATTTTCTCCTCCACTGCCCCAATGGAAACAATCTTCCATACAGTGGCTTGGTTTTGGAGTTCTTAATAAAGTTATTTTGGAATTCCCAGAAGTGTTTTGGGATGATTCTGTGGATTACTTTGGAGTGACTGCTGAGGAAACAGATAGTAGAGGCCATTGCTTTATGTTTTGGAATGTTCGGAAAACTGTTGGGGCTCCTGTTCTGATAGCCTTAGTGGCTGGTAAGGCAGCTATTGATGGTCAAAGTATGCACTCATCTGATCATGTTAACCATGCTGTAATTATTCTCCGTAAACTTTTTGGAGAAGCTTCAGTTCCTGATCCTGTTGCCTCAGTTGTGACTGATTGGGGCAGGGATCCTTTCAGCTTTGGTGCTTACTCCTATGTTGCCATTGGAGCATCTGGAGAGGACTATGACGTGTTGGGTAGGCCTGTTGAGAACTGCTTGTTTTTTGCTGGAGAAGCTACCTGCAAGGAGCATCCTGACACAGTTGGTGGTGCAATGTTGAGTGGACTTCGGGAAGCCGTGCGATTAATTGACATATTTACCACTGGAAATGATTATACAGCCGAAGTAGAGGCAATGGAGGCTGCACTGAGACAATCAGAATCAGGAAGGGATGAAGTTAGGGACATAATTAAGAGACTCGAATCAGTTGAACTTTCTAATGTCTTGTACAAGAACTCTTTGGATCGAGCCCGGGTTTTGAGCAGGGAAGCCATACTACGGGACATGTTCTTTAATGTGAAAACCACTGCAGGACGATTGCATCTGGCGAAAAGGTTTTTGGGTCTCCCAGTTGAATCCTTGAAATCCTTTGCTGGGACAAAGGAAGGGCTTACCACATTGAACTCATGGATGCTGGTATTATTCCTTTTCAAGATTTATTGTCTATGCTTGTGTCCTAACATGGTTTTGTTAGAGTAATAGTGGCATTAAATAATACTTTGATGTTTGTTGTGTTCATTTTGGAATTTATAGGATTCAATGGGGAAAGATGGGACTCAATTGTTGCGACATTGTGTTCGTCTTCTTGTGCTTGTTTCAACTGATCTACTCGCAGTTCGTTCATCAGGTACTTGTTTATTTTGTGCTATCATATATTTTTGTCATTCATAATCCATTTGCATGGCATGTGTGAAGTTTTTGTGTGAATTTATGCTGCTTTTCCATGAATTAGTATTTGATGAATGAAATTGGCTACGATGACATTTTTATTAATAATTGTGTTTTTAGGCATAGGGAAAACCGTGAAGGAAAAAATTTGTGTGCATACAAGTCGTGACATACGTGCTATAGCAAGCCAGTTGGTTAATATTTGGCTTGAAGTCTTCCGTAAGGCAAAAGCTTCTTCAAAGAGAAAATCCCTTAAAGATCCAGCTTCAGGAAAGCCACCCCTACACTCACGACATGGTGCTTCCGAAAATAAAGCAATCTTGCAGGATACTTTTTCTGCTGGAAACCAGTATCCTTTCGCCTTCGGTATGAAAGAGAATGGAATATCAATTGATATGGAGGTGGAAGCTGTCAACCGAGGGATGTCAGAGGAAGAGCAGGATGCCTTTGCTGCTGAAGCAGCTGCCCGAGCTGCAGCAAAAGCAGCTGCGGAGGTATGTCTTTCTTAACCTTATCTACAGTGACATATCAATATTAATGCATTGTCCCTGAACAATTGTTACCTGGATGCCACATTGCAGAAGGCTTTATTTGTTCTTTTTGGTGTTTGGTTTTATCTTGTTCCCCTTCGACACCCAAAGATTTATAGCTTATCCCTTGTTTTGGTGTTAACGTTTTCAACATTTAGCCTTCTCATATACTCTTTTAAGAATGTTTTGTGAAGGTTTTGCACTGTGAAAGAATTGAATGAATGCTTCTTTTTAACTTTTGATCAGGTTGATATCATTAATTGATAGACTGAACAAATTTGGATTACTTGTGATATTATTGAGCATTAATTTGAAAATGAAAAGAATCGCCTAACATTGTATTACAATCATGTCATTTATGTACTTTTTGTTTTGTCTTCAATAAAGAAGAAGAATTCATCCTTTCTTTTCTGCTATATCACGGACTTGTGTTCATAAAAATTGTACTCTGCAGGCACTTGCATCCACAGAAGCCAACTGCAACAAATTGCTGCAGCTTCCTAAGATTCCATCTTTTCACAAATTTGCCAGAAGGGAGCAATACGCACAAATGGATGAAGGGCAATGGCCTGGTGCTGTTTTAGGAAGACCAGATTGTATATCAGAAATAGACTCTCGTAACTGCAGAGTTAGGGACTGGTCTGTTGATTTCTCTGCTGCTTGTGTTAACCTCGACAGTTCTGGAATGTCAGCAGATAACCTGTCTCAGAAGAGCGACTTGAAACTTAGGGAGCACTCTGGAGAAAGTTTGGCTGTGGACAGCAGTATCTTCACAAAAGCTTGGGTTGATAGTGCTGGTAGTGGTGGGATTAAGGATTATCATGCCATCGAGAGATGGCAGTCTCAGGCAGCTGCTGCTGATCCGGATTTCTTCCATCCTACAAATTTCAAGGATGAGGAAGATTCAAATACTAGTTCAAGGCAACCAACCTGGAAGCACAATGGACAAGCTAATGAGAGCTCCATCTCCCAAGTATCTGTAAACAAGGAACGATTTGATAATCATTCCCGTGGGGGCTGATCGTATTAAACAAGCTGTTGTTGATTATGTTGCATCATTGCTAATGCCCCTTTATAAGGCAAGAAAAATTGATAAGGAGGGTTACAAAACGATAATGAAGAAAACTGCAACAAAGGTTCCTCTTCTCTTCTCTCTTCCATTTCTTTTATTTTACTTATTTGCTCTAGACTTCTTTTCTATCTTTACTTCCAGTCTAGTCTTAGGCTCATCTTACCAGGTAATGGAGCAGGCAACAGATGCAGAGAAAAACATGTCTGTTCCTGAATTTCTTGATTTCAAGCGCAAAAATAAGGTATGCATACGCGTTATGCCCTGCTTTAGGTTATATTATTTACCCAGTCTACCTATAGAATTTTTGGTTTATCTTCCCCCCCCCCATTTTTTCTCCCCAGTTTTAAAGATTCTCTGATGCACACTATTGACTTCGTAATCTTTAATGAATACTTAACTTTGATATAGCTAGCGCATTATTGCTTTTGTTAAGTTTCATTCATATATTAACTTTGATTTATGATTCTTATTATTATAGTTTGTTGTCGCAATCATTTTTAATGATCTTATTAACAAAATTTCTAAACTGAATACTTCTTGCTTTTTCTTTTAGTGTGAAAAGGACAACTGCAGCTTTTGAAAATGGATACTTGATGGTAGAATACTGATTTAGTGTCTTAATCAAGCTTAATATGGATGCCTTTGACATACAGATTCGTCCCTTCGTAGACAAATTGATTGAGAGGCACATGGCAACGAAGCAAACCATGAAACCATGATGGTGTTAAGGATTGTGGCTATGCTTTATTGGCTTTCTCTATAAAACCTAAAATGCCTCTCTCTGCTTGAGTTCACTGCCTTAAAATATGGTGATGCTGGAAAAGAGTTATACAATCTGCAGTTCATGACCTAGAAGGTGTTCATGGAACAAAAGAACATGGTTCACTGCTTTATAGTCTTGATCGACCCTCAAAGCGAATCAGAAGTTGCTCAAGTTGAAGAATTATTGCAAAGTTTATCGGAATAGCACTGAAATATGGTAGAAGTTTTTTGGATCTTAAATTGCCTTCATTATCATAAATGAGATCAATGGAAGTGTCGCGGCTTCTGTTCTATTTTGTGGGCAAGTGAGTGGTATTGAAGTTGATATCAAGATCCTTGTATTATTGGAACAAAGGGATACTTGAAAGGGTGGTAGTCAAGATCCAAAATTTTATTATCGGATTCCCACAGATGAGACATTACTTGTCTTTTCTTGTTTTTGATTTGTACAGTTTAGTATTCTTTTAGTGATGACAAGCATATAGAGATTGTTTATCTGGAAATACTGCAACATTATCCTGATTTTTTTTAATTGAGCATCAATTGCTAACCTCAATTTCTTTCTTCAAATCTTTATTGGAGGAAGGATTGATTTATATGCATGGAACGAATCTGAAGGGCAATACCTTCATCTTTTGTAGTGGTTTGAGTGTGTGTATATATATATAGGGTTACGATCAATTTACACAATGTAAAAGTCTTTAGTTTTACGTTAATTTAGGACCGTTGGATGAGTGAAAATAGATGACTGAGATCGACTCGTTTCCCCGTAAATATCTTCACATTTCTTACTTTTAATTTCTGTCATTTGTTTTCACTCATCCAACGATCATCTCTCTATATATATTGGGGTTGGGGGAGGGGGTTGAACTGTTGCATGTGTATTAGTATATATGAAATATCTTCATTCCAAAGATTGAAGAGTTTGATCTATTTCCTAATGACATTTACATTGACATTATTAGGTGAATTGTAAAGCATTGGCATTGTTACTACCGTATATCATATGCTGGGTAAGCTAGAAGGATGCATTATGCAATACTAGCTGTGTGTTTCATTTTATATACCAGAAAGTCAATGGAATATCCAGCTATTTTCTATGCTATTAATTTATTGCTAATGCCTCTGTTTTGGAATTCCAGATTGGCAAAGTGTTGTGGCTGGCCGATGGGAGGTATGAGTACATTTGCCACTTACACCTGCTAAATTCCTAGTCCCTATAAACTATTATGTGACCACAGCAGGTTGGGTGATATTATAGCAAAATCCCAGCTAACATAGCCGAAGCTCGAATATGTTCCTTCTATTGATTTTAAAGGTTTATAATTTAACGTCATGCTTTCTAGTCCCCGTGGAATAGAGGTTTGCAAGGGGTACTCTGTGGAACTTTGCTGTTTCACCCTTTTTATCGTGTAGTGTGAAACCCTAGTGATGTTTAGGTTTGATTCAGTTTCATATGGATCTTACGTAGTGGAAAAATTGTTTGGCATTACATATATTGTACAAAGATATTTGAATGTTTGGGCTTGAGGACAATCAACTTGACTCTCCCTTGGCTTGAAAACATTACATGTTTTGTTGTTTGTAGATATGAGGAAATGGTGTTTGAAAACTGTGGGTCTTGGAATTGTAAAGCCTCTATAATCTTCTTCGTGATTTTTCAGATGGAGATGCCTTCTATTGGATTAAAATATATATATATTAAACTGGTTTTGCATTTTGGTTTTTTTTTCCTTCCCTTTTCATGATTTTTTTACAGTGTGAATAGACTGTAGAATATTTTTACCTAAACTACTTTATAAAAAAAATGAGGGATTATTTTACTGTTGCAACAAAAGAGGGTTAAAAGTAGAATCGGTCCAAGGCCTCAAATAGATTCCTACGATAATAATCCCAATGGTCTCTAAACTTCCCTACTACTACAGAAGTAATATATATTTTAATTAGTCGGATATTTAAAATGGAAGTCGAATATATATTTTAATATATAAACTGGTTTATTATTAAATTATTCTTGTTTAAATTTGAATAAATTATTTGTAAGATAATAGAACACGAAATTCGGAAGTCAGAAAATTTAAAAAGCAGAGTCGATAATATCTTAGTTTTGCAAAAGAAAATATCTGAATATGTATAGAAGGCTGTAGATGGTAATTGGAATCGGAAAAGAAGGAAATGGAATGTGCGTAGACATTGAAATTTTGTAATATCCATGGGGCTGAATTTGCATACCCAAGGCAGTTGGAAGTTGAATTGGGCGTCTCTTATTTATTATCCTAGAGCAGAGTGAAGTAGCTGTTTCATTTCTCCTCACTGGGCGACCTTGATGATGGGAATCTGTAATTGCAATTGGAATTTTAAGGGTTAGTCACTGTTGTATGCTTTTGCTCATAACCCACACTCGTTTCTCCATCAGGAGAGGCGGTGAACTTATTTTTTCATGTCAAATCACAAGAAATACAACTTCTCCAACAAATCCCTTTAGTTTTCTGGCTTTGTCACTGTTATAATACGACTCACAGCCTCTGTTCATTCCTCATTGCCATTTCATTTTCTTTGATTATTGTAAGTATTGCTGCACCATCAAAACGATTATTAAGATAATATTCAACGACGTTTCACGAGCCGACCTTAGCTCAGTTGGTAGAGCGGAGGACTGTAGTGGGGTTTCCTTCAGATTAATCCTTAGGTCGCTGGTTCGAATCCGGCAGGTCGGAGCTTTTTTATTTCTCATACATAAGATTTGCAGAAATAGAAATATTATATTGTTCGTCTTGGTAAGAATATTGGGCCGGCTTTGGCTCCATGTTTACTTTTCCCTGTAGCTGAAACAAACTACCGGAATATCTACTCAAGCTTGGCACCACGTTGGATGAGTATGTCTCCTTTTGATTTTCATAATGGTCTCTGGGTTTCCTTTTTCGATTTCGGCACAGTTAACTGCCTCAGGGAAACGATGGGGTTTCTTCATAAATTCGAGAAAAGGATCTCCCTTTACTTAGGACGACAGAGCATGCTAGAGAGCTCCCTCTGAATGGATTTGTGACTGTGAAACCAAGTACAACTGCTGCACTGCAGCCATGGATGGGATAATTCCAAGTGGATGGATCTGGAAGTAGATTTTCTGAGAAACCAGTGCAAATTAGCGCTTCTTTCATCTTGTGTAGCTGATGACGGACCAAAGGGCTATGATGCTCGGCACCCCGTTTTCTACCTACTTGGCTCAATGCCATTTGGTTTTTGACATCACATAACTATTTTGATTGCTCTCTCGCGGTCCTGTCGAATAAGTCATATGAGCGCCAAAGCTCAAATTTCAGACTATGGACTTCATGAGTTCGTCTTTCCACCGTCAACTGTATTCAAGTCCTGTTTTATAAATTTCATTTATTTTTTAAATTAAATCTTGGGTCAGCCATTTTATGATACTCTTTAGACAATATAGGGGCAATTTGTTATACCTCCATAAATATTACTCCCCCACCAATCTATCAACAATCACCTCTAGTGGGATTTGTCGGAGAGTAAAAGACGAGACTCTCAATAAGACTCTTGATAAACTTGGGAGATTTGTCTTGAACAAATATACCACCTAATAGTTGTATTTATATATTCTGTCAACTTATATATAGTAATTATGATTCACAACTTAACACGAGCATACAAAGAAAGTTAATTCAAGATCAATGTATAAACCCTAATAATATATAAGAACGAGGACTTCAACTATTCTCTTTGAAATATTTTTCCTTCAACCTACTTTTATTATCTTTACACAATCATTGATTGATTACCGATTATGAGTTTTCTTTCAAACCAAAAATAATAAACCATTATTGACTAATACAAATCAAACACAAGGAAATTTTGTTTTGGCATTTATTTTATAGCTATTTAATATTTGATGTGCAAATTATTTGTACGTTGTTACCGAGTTAAGTGTTAGTACACCAATATTAAATTCAAAATCTAAATTGATTTGACTTTATATTATAATGTAAGAGCATTCGATTGATTAATATTGTATAAAAGTGTATGATTTATTAGTAATCATTAAAGATATGTATAAACATTCAATGTAGTGCGTATTCCTAAATTTCAACTCAACATTTTCAACTAGCAATAAATTTATTTTTAGTGAAATTATTTATCAAGTCTTTGGGTTAATATTTATGATTAAGGGAGTATCAATTATTGTTCAATAAGATCAATGTCTTTTATAGCTTTTATGATTCTACAAATCGAATCGTCTGTTTGAAATATTTTTATAGTCTTAAGGTAATATTTATTCAAAAAATTTCTTAATTTATTGACAACACATATTATGCATATGCAGCTGCTCAAACTCGTATCCTCTAGGAGAACAACATTTCTTTTTTATCATTGAGACTACTCAATAAATTTATTTTTGTTTGAAATTAAATTACGAATGAAAATAATAATTTTAATTTTTAATGTCATTTTTAATAAATGTTATTTTTTTTAAAAATTTGACTTTATCTTATTATTCTTACCAGTAGAGGGTTTAATTCGAACCAATCACTTTTATGGAGGAACTAATTTAAACTAATCTCTATTATAGAGGAATTAAATTCATCCATTTAATCATAAAGAGACTAAATTGACATAATCTCTATAATGGAAGGACTTGAAAGGTACATTTACTGTTTCTTTTACTTTTTAATATTTTCGTAATTCCCGCCCCCCCGGTCCCCCCGCTAATATTGGCCTTCACGTTAGCGTCAAAGCTTTTTAAACCTATTGTGAGGTCGGGGTGCTAAACAGGTGTGGCTGTTATGAAATTTTGGGTTTCAGCTTCCCAGTGTAACAAATGGCAGACTTTTTCTATCTAGGCGGACGAGAAGTAGAGGACAACGTGAATTTGCACAGAAGCGAGGAGACGTGCAACAAAGGGTTCGAGATATGGCCACCGCTATCTTATAATTCGTCTTCGGGAACTGTAGAACCCATCAGCTGCCAAAACTGTGGGAACCAAGATAAGAAAGACTGTCCCCATTTTAGATGCCGGACTTGTTGCAGAGGCCGAGGCTTTCACTGCCAAACTCACCTTAAGAGCACTTGGGTTCCCGCCGCTAAAAGGCGAGACAAGCAACATCAGTTTCGAGGAGAGAATCAAGGTGCTTGTTTTACCTTTTCTTTATAGTTTCTTATTCAGTTTTTGTTTCTAATGTTTTGAAAATTAGGGTTGGAATTGTTTCGGTTCCCTCCACAAGCGAGCTCTCCAGCGGATTTCCGTTGCGTAAAAGTGAACGCCATGGAAGAAGCAGACGAGGAGCAATACGCTTACCACCAAACGGCAGTGAACATCGGGGGGCATGTATTCAAGGGGATCCTTTACGATCAAGGCCCCAAAATCAGTGGCGGTTGTAAAAACCATTTTTTCTCATTTCTATTTTATTTTATTATGTAAAAACAATATTAAAATGTAGTGGTTGGGGTTATTAATACCCCAACCAACCCTTGTAACATAGACTCCATTTTCCCCGAAAATTTGAGAATGAAAGAAACTGCTTTTTGACTTTTTTTTTCTTCTCC